AAACAAAACATATACTTGCAGACCCACATTCACTGCAACACTGTTCACATTCACCACGTTACAGAATCAGCCTAGAGCTCATCACCAGATGAATGTGATATATACATACATATATATATATATATATTAAATGCATACTATATATTGTATATAATAGAGCTATTATCTATACTGTTTTACACAAATGCAGATATACAGTAAAGTATTATTCATCCATAAAAGAAAGAAATTATGCCTTTTGAAAGAAAATGAATACAACTAAAGTTATCAAGTGAAGCAAAAGAGCCAAAGAAGTTAAAGACTGCAAATTTTCTTTAATACATTGAAGAAAAAAAGGGGGGAAAACTATCGCTCTGAAAGTCAAAGAGGGATTATTGGGGAACAGGAAAGAGACGAGGGAACAGGAGTAGAAGAGGTTAGTAGGAAGGGTGGTTATGATCAAAGTCCATCAAAACCCATTAATATGTTCTAATAATTATACCAGAAAGAAATGGTTCTCCAATCAGCCTGTATGTAGAATACAGTTCATTGCTATGTCAATTAACTATGTTCCATGATGAAAATATCTACCTTTTCATTCTGAACCTAGAAAGCCAAGCTATGGAGATTTTTTGCTTTACTACCTCTTATGACCTTTGACCGAGAATTCTGAGCCTCCCCTTTCCTACAGATGGGATTACAGCAGTCATCTCAGAAGGCTATTTCAGCACCAGAGGAAGTGTTCATCTGAGAACAGTCTATAAACGAACATACATATAGAACAGCCATTGTGGTTACCCACTCATTAGAAACAATTTCAAGTTTAAAATGATAATACACCATTTTCATAACAAAATAGTATATCCTACTCTTTAACAGAAATGACTATGCAAACCAGTTACATTGGATTTAACATGGCAAATGACTGATTTTCAGTCACTCCTCTCATACTTCTTTAAGTCCTATCTCTGAATAATGTGAAAGGTCCCACCAGAAGGCTTCCTTCACAATAGAAAAGATGCCTCACAAAGCCCCCCAGGTAGGGGACAACAACCTGTGAAACCATACTGAACCAAGCTCCTGGGAACTCACAAACTTTGGATCAACAGCAATGGAGCATATATGGTACTGGACTAGGCCCTCTGCATAGGCTAGACAGTTGCGTAGCTTGGTCTGTTTAAGGGGCCCCTGGCAGTGGGATCAGAATCTATCCCTAGTGCATGAGCTGGCTTTTGGAAGCCCCTTGCCTATGGTGGGACACCTTGCACAGCCTTGATGCAGTGGGGAGGGGCTTGGACCTGCCTCAACTGAATGTACCAGGCTTTGCTGACTCCTCATGGGAGGCCTTACCTTTTTGGAGGAGAGGATGGGGGATGGTTTGGCGGGGGAGGCTAGGGGGAAGCAGGAGGAGGAATGAGAGGGGTCTCTGTGGTTGATATATAAAATGAATAAAAAAATTTCTTAAAAAAAATAATTAAAACGGACAAACAAAAAAACCCTCAAGCTAGGGCCTGGAGAGTTGGCCTGGTGGACAGGAACCTGAGCACAGCCCTTCCAGAAAACCCCAGTTCAGTTCTCAACACCCATGATGGGTGGCTTAGAACTGCCTGTAACTCCAGCTCCAGGGGATCCCGTGTTCCTGTCCTTCCTGGGAACTTCCACTCCTGTGCATAAAGTCACATTCTCACATACACATACACACAAATGCACACAATCAAATAAAACAAATTCTTAAAAATAATCACATACACATACACACAAATGCACACAATCAAATAAAACAAATTCTTAAAAATAATCACATACACATACACACAAATGCACACAATCAAATAAAACAAATTCTTAAAAATAATCACATACACATACACACAAATGCACACAATCAAATAAAACAAATTCTTAAAAATAATCACATACACATACACACAAATGCACACAATCAAATAAAACAAATTCTTAAAAATAATACCTCAAGACAGTATACCTTTTCTTTTTTTTTTAGTTTTTTGAGCCAAGGTATCTCTATGCAACAGCTCTTACTGGAACTAGCTCTGTAGACCAGGTTGGCCTTGAACGCACAGAGGTCTGCCTGCCTATGCCTCCCGAGTGCTGGGATTAAAGACGTGAGTTACCACTGCCTGGCGACCGTGCAAGTTTTTGATAGAATTAGTGTTCCAGATGAGGTCTGAGTTAAGGGATCCCCTAACATCTTAGCTCTATGTCGAGGGTACACACAAGCTTCTCATCCTATTGCAATTCTGACACACTGAATCTAATACTTCTTTTCTGAGGCTCCCTGTGCATTAAAGGGTGGTTGACACTATCCCTGGCGTCTACCTATGCCATCCCACCCACACCAATAAAAATGTCCCCAGACAGTTCCATCTGGTCCCGAAGCAAAATCTCCCAGTCCTTTGAAAAGAACTACTCTGAAACTCCTCACCACTAATTGATACAAATTTAAAACTTTGGGAAGTACTGACTAATTATGAAGTATACTTAATGACTATCACAGCCCCAGGAAAGTTTTATAAGTCCATCACTCGGGCTGGAGATAGGGCTCCATGGTAAGAATGCTTGCTTACCATGCACAGAGCCCCGGGTTGGGTTCCTAGCACTACAAAACAGAAGTACCATCTACACTTGTGTATACAAAGGTTCCCAGACATCTTTCTTCATACAGAAAGAGATAAAACTGAATAAACAGACTACATAAGCAAAACTAGCAGATGAAAACTGCCCTTTTTAATCTTCAGAAGAACTGTGTGCAAAATTGATCTACTTACCTTTCTTCCCGTAATTTTCGAACTCGCTCAGCCCTCTCTCGTTTCTCTTGTTCCTCCAGAGCTCGCTGCTCAGTTGTGTCTTTTTGGATGCGTTCACTTAAGGCATCAAAGTCTTTTGCAATGATATGCAGGAGCCAATAAAGCCCCTTTTTAATGGACTTGTCAATTTTCTTTCCATATCCCAAGACTGCCGAACAAGGTTCCTAAAACAAATCATTTGACTCAATGATTAAAACTAAAAGTTCTCTACACAACCATATTCATAAACCATTAAGTAAAATTATAGGCAAAGCAAAATTTAGCCTTTTAAGTTAATAACTTCTAAAACACAATTTTGTAATAACTAAATTTAGTTTAGTACTAGTAGAAGTTGAAAACAATTATAAATATTATCTATGTTACATTATGAATAAGATGAGAGGACCAGATACAATTCTATACAAATTTACTGGAAGACAAACTGAACTCCCCTGAGAAAAGCGCTGCTATTTATTAAGAGCACCTGTAACGAAGAGACTCAGGAGCCACACACCTCTAATCCCAGCACTCGGGAGGCAGAGGCAGGCAGGTAGATTTCTGAGAGTTTGAAGACAGCCAGGGTGACAGAGACAGACTCTGCCTCAAAACAAAGGGGGGGGAGGGAATACTGGAAATTATAAATTCTTATGCTGAGCTAGGCCTGGTGGCACACACCTCTAATCCCAGCACTCCGGAGGCAGAGGCAGGTGAATCTCAGTGAGTTCGAGGCCAGCCTGGTCTACAACGTGAGTTCCAGGTCAGGCTCCAAAAGCTACACAGAGAAACCCTGTCTCGAAAAACAAAAACAAAAACAAAAATCTTACAAGCAATGTAGGAAAGTTTCTGGGAGTTAGTAAAAAAGTAGAAGAGACATTACAGTATTAACTACTATTAACTGAGCAATGACAGAATTGTTACGGCATGGAAATTATTTTAGTACTGTTTTCATTATCTTTTTACATTTATATATTAATCTGGGGGGTGTGCAGCAAACTCCACCGCACAAGAGGTCAGGAGACAGATAAAAAGTTTCCGTACCCCGATATTAAGCCTCTCTGCCGAGGCAGTAAATCAGATCACGACAAATTATTAAGTTCAGGTTTAATCTGTGCAGAGCATTCCTGGGCAGTCCCAGGGGAAGGGGAGAAGCCGCGATGGAAACCACTAGAGAAGTCTGTGGGCCGGTCCTTAAATACTCTCCAGGGTGGACCTGCTGCTTGGCGGGCTTTCTTTGGGCGGGGTCTGGAGAGGTCGGCTCCAGCGGAGATGCCCAACAACAACCTGCAGGAATCTGTTCCCCCTTCCACCACGGGGATCCCAGGGAGTGGACTCAGGTGGCTAAGCCAGGATGCCTTTTACTAGCTGAGCTATGGTATAGGGCGGCCCCAAAAGACTGTTTTCTAGTTGACTATCACTTTTATGGAAACTAAGTTTTCTGAACAAAATGTAAAAGTAATAACGATAATAATAATAATAATAATAATAATAATAATAATAATAATAATAATAATAACTTACTATCTGGCACAAGCACTTGTGCTCATTGACCAGCTTTTCCAGGGAGAGACATTCAATCACATCGGCTTCTCCTAAGGCCCCCTCCTTGTCCTGTTTATTTGCCAACCTAGGAAGACAAATGAACTGGTTGTACAGCAGATGTCATTTTCACGGTCTCTGTTCCCAAGATTTAAATCTACTGATTACAGAATAAGCTGGTTCAGGGAATACTGTAGCACAGATTTCATAACTTTTCATAGTTAGTGCTCTAAAAAAAAAAAAAAAGCAAAAGCAGCCAACGAGAAAGTTCAAGGAAGCACTAGACCGATAATTAAAAACTACCAATAGAAGAAGAAGCAGGCTACTTCCCACAGCCCACAGACAAAAGTCCTGACCTTTTCTTCTTAAAAACAATGCTGGTGGGAATGTGAACTCCATTCCATTTCACACTGGAGTGACTAGACACGCAACTATGGAATCAACATGGAGGCTGCTCCTATTCCACCCATCACCCCTCACTCTACACACAATCATTTCCACTGTTTCTTAGTGCGGCTTCACGTTGTCTCCTTTTGAAAATATAAACATATTTTTGGGTGGTATTTCAAAATTTATACAACTGGGTACTGTGGAGAACATGTTTCTTTTGTATCATGATTTTTTTTCTTCCAAACACAGAATTCAATTCTGAAATTATCTTTTTTTTTTTTTTTTTTGGTTTTTCGAGACAGGGTTTCTCTGTGTAGCTTTGCGCCTTTCCTGGAACTCACTTGGTAGCCCAGGCTGGCCTCGAACTCACAGAGATCTGCCTGGTTCTGCCTCCCGAGTGCTGGGATTAAAGGCGTGCGCCACCACCGCCCGGCTCTGAAATTATCTTGATGCAGAATAAAGCAATCTGTACTTCACTCTAAGCTGCAGGATGACATATCATATAGATGATCCAGTGTCCATCACCAATCCTGCACAGAAAGATTTCTTGTCTTCACATAGAATACCATGAAGGAGTTGTTTTCTTTGGTAGGGCAGGGGGAGAGAGCAGATTTGAGGAAGTGGGAATTCAAACACAATCTAAATTGTACTTGGACTGCAGCCATGTTCAGCTCACATCTCCAGTAGGCGTGGGAACACCAAAAGACTAAAGGTTTGGAAATTTGATACTATGAAAGGATTTTCATTCCTACATTTCCCTGTAAATATTTCTTCCTGGTAGAAATTCACTTGACATAATATGTAACTGCTATTTTACATTGAAAATTATAGAAACTTCCTCCAAAGTAAAAATAAGAGTACGGAAAGAAAAGTGGAGTTCAAAGACAAAAGTCCTCTCTGGCTAGTATTCTTCTCTTTCTCTATTTTGTGAGTGAAGCCCTGTGGGATTTCCAAGTAGAAGAGGATTGAATCATAAATGGAATCTAAAACGCTGCACACTAGGCTTCATTCCATTCCTATTCATGGGTACTTCTAGGTTTTGAAATCTACAAAGAAACCTTTGTTTAGCTACAACAGCATTTTTCGGAAGGAAGGCATTCCACAGGTAGTGCAGACTAGGTCCAGAGAATGTACTCAGACTCTGTGCAGACAGTTTAACAAGGACTTCCAGCTACCAAGGCGCTCCGGAGAACAGGCTCTTCCTTTAATCTAAGGAACAGGTGAGGAACAGGCAGAACCTGCTTCTCCAGGTGTGAAGTAAGCAAGCCGCACTTCTCATTTGATAGCAACAGCAAATGTACAACTTTATCTCCAACTTATTTGACTTCATTGTTTGGCTTTCAATTAACTGTATGAGAACCATAAAGCCAGCCTGTGGCTTAGAAGTGATTTAAGCGTTTGATGGAGCATTACACTCCATGGCACTCGGATTTTCTCCCAGACTAAGAACTCTAACACCACGGGTGAGAAAACAAGAACAAGACAGTAAGGTAAGCGAATTAACGTGTGTGTGTGTGTGTGTGTGTGTGTGTGTGTGTGTGTGTGTGTGTGTGCGTGCTATTTAAAGTGAAATATCCAGACACTGAAAGAATGGCTCAGCAGGTCCTCCAGTGACTTTCCTGTTTAGATTTGCACAGAGCTGCAAGCAGCTGACCTGTCCTGGCTATGAGGATCGACCTGTAGAGGACTGAGGTGGAGTTACCAACCTTAGATGAAACCATTACTTTAATTCTAATAAAACGACTTCTCATTTTAGAAACATTAGAAAAGCAGATCCTTTGAAAACAAATCTGAAATTCTTTTTTTTATAGACATTAAATTAATAATGCTATGTTTATTTTAGACAGGACTTTCATACTTAATACTGAACAGAACTTTATGCCCAAATTTGAAAGAAAAACATTAATTTCTTCATTCTTATTTCCCAGGATCTGCTAAAACTAATTTGAAGAAATTTTAAAATGGTTTTGTTGGAAAAGGACTACTATAAAATATCAAAGCACTCAAACATTTTAACGTTGTAGATAGTGTGTTGAAAGTACTTAAAAATTTATCATAGTTTTTTCAAGCTATTAGATCAACTTAATAGTTAAATCGGCACCATTTAAATGTAACATATTTCCTAAGTTATAATTGTTCCTATCTCTGAATTTAATAAATACTCATTTCAAATCAACTTAATGACTTTTATAAAGTATTTTTAAAGGAGATATGAAGTTGGCCATGTAACATGCAATGTAATCTCTCTTCAAGGCTACCCACTTTGAAGTTTAATATGAAAACTACTTCATATCTATTCAACTTATCTGAATCAGATAAGCAAAAGTAAAAACAACAAATAACTCTTTATAAAGTTATGATTACTAATTAGTTCAACAAGACAACTAACACATCTACATCAACTCCAAAGAAAGAATACTGAAAGAATACATTACTGAAAATGCCAGCTCATTCAAGCTTAGAAAATATATATAGTAAGATCCCCAGTTTTAACCTTGAGCTAGAAAATGCTGAAAGCTGCCTTCATATACAAGAACAAAATGTATTTCTTGAATATTTATTAATCAACATAGTAACTACAGAAAGTTTACTTTAAAAAATCCACAAGCATATTAAACATGTATCCCAACTTAATTTTATTATTATTTTTCGTTAATTTTTTGTTTTGTTTTGTTTTCAAGATAGGGTTTCATTGTATAGCCCTAGCTGTCTTGGAACTCTGTACACCAGGTTGGCCTTGAAATCACAGAGATACACCTGCTTCTGCCCACCAGCATTAAGATTACAGGTGTTCACCACCACTGTCCCATGGTATATTTCTAACACTGTCTCACGTTATATTTCTAAAGGTAATGTACATTCACGTTTGTCTCTAGGAATCGAATTCTGTGTAACAGGGTGGAGAAAGTTTTCTTTGAGTCACTCCTCTTTACTTTCCTCTTTCCCACAAGAAACTATTACAAGTTATTACCACATGTATCAACTACCATCATATTGTTTTTCTTTTCTAAAATACCATGTTTAAACTCACAGATATAGGCAACATTATGAGTGAAACTCAAACCACATAGCAAATTCAAAAACGTAGAGTAGTAAATTAAACATACTGATGATCTTATCTTCTATAGACATAATACTACTGCACTAAGAAACTGCATGTAATAATGATCTCATGAATTTCATCTAGCCTAACCAATTAAATGATTTCTTATGAGTTTCATATTTTATGATTATATGAACTGTATCCAAAATTTAAATTATAATATGCTTAGTTCTAATTTATGAAAGTAAAATTAAACTGGAAACAGTGTACATATAGTTATGAACACCAACTGCTAAAAAATACATACACACAGCATTTAAGTGCACCTGAGTCCTTATAAGTGAGTTTCTATACAGTCATACAAAAATTGGAAGAAAATTATGAATATGATAACACTATTGTAAAGGTCATCACCTATGTCTTCACCAAGGTAGACAGCTATTTTACAAATGGTTCCCTTTAGTTTAGAATATGGAGGGATGTCTTATATAAACTTAACTTTAAAAATATCAATTTGAAACTATATTTTTTTAAATAGCAAAATCTAGCAGATTCTAGAAATGAAGAGGGAACATAACCACAGTTATGGGGAGACGTTAAACACAACTACACTGGACTACTAGAAGAAAAGAGTCTGTCTTAGAGGCTGGGACTTAGGAAATAAATATTACAGGAAATAAAACTGAATTTCCTAGATGAACTAGGGAAAATAGAACATAGTCTGTACAGACACAGAAATAGCTATTTTAACTTGTCCAGAATTCCATCAGGAATAACAAAAATCTCAGAAAACTAAGATAACTATCTCTCTGTCTGTCTGTCTATCTACCTACCTACCTATCTATATACATATACAAACACATATGTTTCTGTACCTTTTCTGTGATACTGTAAATACAACCCAGAGTATCATGTATTACTGAGCAAGCTTTCTAGCACTGAGAGATGTCACTGGACTCTGGGTCTGCATTTCCACTCCCTGACAACAGTGGACAAATCCATGGCTCTAGTGGGAACAACCAAACAATCTCAGATTGAATCCATAACTTAGAAAGGTGTCAGGGGCATTCCCGCATAATATAATACCTCAAGGGACACAAAAAAACACTTGTCCACCTTCAAGAGAGTAGCTAGAAGTTAACGGCCACCTGAAAGAAAAGAATTTACTACCAAGAAAGATAGCATAATAATATAAAGAAACTTTAACATAAATATGTTAGATATTCCAAAGAAATAAACTGGCAATATCTTATTCATCAAAAATGATGCATACCATATATACATTATAGCTAACTATGTAAATTACATCATCTAATTTATATGCACGCACTGGTATTCAGCAGCAAAAAGAAACCTAATTCAATTTACATATTTGCATTTTCACATCAATAACAGCGATGTAAAGAAAGAAATGTTCTAATATTTACTTGTGTTTTCTGTGCACACTTGGCATGTGAATAATGTACATGCGTGCATTTGCACACCCCTCTGCACCTACTAAAACTACACTTCAGGAAAAAGCTTGCCTATGACCCCAATAACTGCTGCAATTTTTGTAAAGATGAAAGAAAGGGTCATCCCATCCTAAACATGTGAGAGGAGGTGCTGTAATGCCTGTGAGAGGCTCAGGGCTTAACTGGATATGGAGATGGCCACTGTCAGCAAAGTGGAATTGAGGTCTCCAAGTAACCAAGATGGAGACCAGAATGCTTGTGAACACACAGACATGAATGTGAACAATAACCATTCCAAACTTTAACTCAAGGCCTGAGAATAGTCACTGCACTGCCATATCTTATTGGGCAAACAGAATTAGTTAGATTTTTTTTTACAAATGAAATTTAACTTTTACAAAAAAGTACAAGTTAAATTTATTACAAAGCTAATAATATTTCCACTTAATTTAGAATTAAGGACTTAGACTCTAAAATTTGCATTAAGGATTATATTGATTGTAATTAACTACAATTAATTATAAGCCATAATTACCTATAATATGTGACATAACTTGTTTAGTATAATTAAAACAGGGGAAATTGTTGGGTGGGTGATGCATATCTGTACCCTCAGAGCTTGGAAAGAAGAAATAAAAGGACTATGAGTTCAAGGCTAGCGTGGATGAAAAGCAAGACCTGTCTCAAAAGCCCAACGGCCAGTGCTGGTGAGATGGCTCGGCAAGTAATGGTTAACTGCTGCCAAACCTCATGACCTGAGTTCAGGTCCTAGTAATCCGCATGGTGGAAGGAAGGAACCAACCACCAACTCCAGAAGTTGTCCTCTGACCTCCATACATGGGCTATTACACACACACACACACACACACACACACACACACACACACACACACACACACGAGCATACACATATGTACAATACTACACCACTAATTATATAATAAACAAGGGAAAACTATAAAAAAAGAGATATAAAATCTTTCACATATAATTGTTTGCTCTAATATTGAAATCTTTCCTGATCAAAACTACTGCTTTCATTTTAATAAAGGACATAAACAATAATAGTCTGAATATTGCACAGTACATTCATTCTGTTTTGTTTCCTAGACCCATGGAAAAGGGGTAAGAAATATTTCTAGAAGATATACATGATACACAGATCCATAATTACATTTCTAGCATAATATCCCATCTTCTATTCCTCTGTGACGAATTTTCATTTCACAAGTTTTCTACATTTAACTTTATTATTGTTGTTCACTCCAAGCTGTGAAACTCACTGCTTTGGTAATTTCAAATTGAACAGTCTTCATCAGAAGGTGGAGAAGTTTCTCCTTGCAAGGAAAGTAGGAAACAGAACAAAGAAGGTGATAGGCAAGAAGAATCCTTTTCCGGCTTAGAAAATCCTTATTTTGAATTTGGATTTCATGTTACAACGTCACATCTGTGGGGGAGGTGGGGGTGGGTGGGAGGATTATCTACAAACTACTGTGGTTAAAATATTTAAAATAGTTGAAGTAAATTGAACACTTCAAATGTCCTATAGTCAGCAGAAGCTTGCAACACAAGAGTTCAGTAATAAAATTACAAAGCAAGTATTTAAGCAAACAGCTAACATGCAAAAGAACTTTCTATGTTAAAAGGCTTCCTCCCTTGTGATGCAGAGTCTTTCCTCCATGCTCAACCATTCCAATGGCTTGTATTTAGAACTTGCTGTGTGCCTAGATAATCTTTCCCTTCAACATGCTGGCTTTTCCTCTAAGAGAAACCAAAGGGGGATCTCAGGCACAGTAGTAGACTTTAACTGGAATCTGTCTTGAGAAAAGATGAGGGTAAGAGGATTAGAAAGAAGAAACGGCACGCGGGAGACTATGACAGTAATCCAAATGAAATAGAAATGCCTTGGACCAGACTGGAAGAGGTGGCTGGCTCCAAACATACTGAGGAAGAAAGGCTAATGCATTTTATTAGCTGTCTGGAAATGAGCTAAGATATAAAATGTTGAAAAGAAATAATCAACAATGACTTGAGCTTTTGAATCTGAGTCACTGAAAGAAGAGAGTTGCCACTGACTGAGTCAGAACAATCTAGGCATTGAGATAGTGCAGAGTCACTTCAGGTGTGCCCATCCAAATGGGACTCAGCAAGCAGAAAGGTGTCTAAGAATAATCTAGACTGAGATCCAACTTGGAATCAACAGTATTTAGTACTATCATTAAAACTAATGATGGCTACTCTTCACCTTATAAGCATCCCAATATTCAGAGGTGGGGAGAGAAGCCAGGAGCCTGAGGGAGGGTGGGAAAGAAAGAACAAAGGATCAAGGGTCAAACACTTTTTTGGAAGTGTCTCAAAAAATAATTCTGTCAGGTGTGGCTGATTAGCTAAAAAAATCATCAAGCCATATTGCTTCTAACTCCAAAAACATTTCCCACTGATTTCCATGGATTCTATCTCTGTTTTATTATTCAACTCTCTTATGAACCATTTTGCTGTCCTGGGAAACAATTCTATATAAAATAAGTAAAAAAAAAAATCTTGGAAAACGAAACTCCTGCCAATGCCACATTTGCTCTTCATGTGTCTTCTACAGCATCTGTGGAAAACTCACATTTTTTACCCTGCATTAAGTCAACTACGATCTGTTTCCTAGCTACCTTTCTGATTTCTCTCCTCTATCTTAATTTTCCTTCTCTTAATTTCTACCTACATAGGCATTAATTCTGTTCTTAAAGTACAGCAGCCTCAGGCTGGAGAGGTGGTTCAGCAGCTAAGACAATGCACCATTCCTGCAGAGAATGTGAGCTCCATTCCTAGCTCCTACAGCAGGTGGCTCACAGCCACCTTTAACTCCAGCTCCAGAGCATCCAACACCTCTGGTCTTCACAGACATTGCTACTCATGTGCGAGTATCCATTCAGAAACACACACACATGTACACATAATTAGAGAAAAAAAATCTTTTTTAAAAGTATATTATTCGGGGTTGGGGATTTAGCTCAGTGGTAGAGCGCTTGCCTAGCAAGTGCAAGGCCCTGGGTTCGATCCTCAGCTCTGAAAAAAAAAAAAGAAAAGAAAAAAAAGGTATATTATTCTTACTCACTGGTTTGGTATTCTATCTCCTATATAAAGCCTATATTCTCTTTCCTCTTCACCTGTCTGGCTTCTGAAGAGTTTGGACTCACAACCCAAGTATCTCCTTAGAGAGGTCTTGTGTAGCAGGCTTTCTTTTGGGCCACTGACCAGTTCACAAATCATGGCATGGAGACTTATTAGTTATCTTATGCTCGGCCTTATCTTTTGCTTCTCTGACTAGCTCTTATAACTTAAATTAACCTGTTTCTTTTTATCTACATTTTGCCTCAGGGCTTTTTACCTTTCTTTCAGTCTGTATATCTTACTCCGTATCTGGCTGTCTGGCTGCCTGGCCCTGGGCATCTCCCTCTTTTTCCTCATTCTCTTTTCTCTTCTCTCTAGAACCTAGATTCTTCCTCCTACTTGTTCTCTCTGTCCGCCAGCCCCACCTACCCCTCTTCTGCTTAGCTATTGGCCATTCAGCTTTTTATTAGACCAATCAGGTGCCTTAGGCAGGCAAGGTAAAACAGCAACACATCTTTACATAATTAAACAATGCAACAAAATAAATGCAACACACCTTTACATAGTTACAGTAACATTCCACAACAGCCTTGCCTGGTTATCTGTTAAGACATAAGATGATTTTATGTATCTCTCTAATCCAACTTCATAAACTAGTTCATCTCATGACAGTTCTACATGTTTACAAAGTCTTCTTTATACTACATTAACACTCCCCCCATATAATTTCCACTCAGTGACCTTTAGAATGATGATATGTCTAACTGTGTTGTATAGACAGGTTTTCACATTTTAGAAAATAATTGTAAAAGAGATCTCTTACATAGGGCAACAATTTAAATTTATTTCAATGATTCTCAACTTCCTATGGTTTTCTAGTCTTCCCCTTCTATGTTCTTTTGGGAATTTCTAATTTGTGAGTTTCCATCACAAAGCATCCCACCCTCAGTGTACCATGATAGCATAATTTAAGTGGCGCAAGTATCTTTCTTAGCCTATTGTACTAGTATTTACTATTCTGGTTAAAAGCATGTATTGAAGTTAATACTTTGTCATAGATAACAGCTGTGAAACAAAGTCTTCTACTTTATAGATGTGAAGAAGTTTCCTAAAGGACTTGATATTTCACATCCTTTCCCATTAAGTATTTTTTTTCTTTTACATTTAGTATATGCTTGATGTTACTTTAATCTCTGAATCTCAATACAACTTCAGGAGACTAAAGGTGATTCCACACTAAGCACCATGAATATATCTGATAACTATATGTGTGTTATGAGAAATTCAAACCATTAATTAAAATAAACTATATAAATAGAGCTTTCTCTATTCAATATTAAGAAAATGTCTAGAGATCAATGAGCTGTTTATATTCCCACTCAGCCTTTTCAAAATTATGAAAGGCATTAAGTGCCTTTCTATACTCAAAGATTAAGAAAATAGTGGTTTATTAGCAATAATAGCTTTTCTTTATTTCACTGTATGTATGTGTATATCATTACCTTATCATTATATATAATCATATGTAACTTACTTCCATTTGATTTGATGCAAAGGACAAACAGGAGCACTAGGTGAAATTTTAAATATTATCAGCATTCTCAGATGAGATCATACATAAACACGTTCTCAAGTATCTAAAGATTATCGTAACATGAATTCCTATACATTTTGCCCTGAGAGTTGAGATTCTTGGAAACAGCTGACAAGAATGAGAAGTCAGCATAATCAACTCAATATTTTTCATACATGCAATAGATAAGAAAACAAGGCTATATAAAATATGCTAATTCAAAGACTTCACTATATATATATATATATATATATATATATATATTGTTTAAAATCCACATAGAATTTATTCTGTCATTATGTTAGTTTAAATTATGCATATTCCGTAAAATGAATATCTGTTTAAAGATTTTTATGTGTATGAATGTTTTGCCTGATTGTATGTATGTGTATCACATGCATACCTGGTCCCCACAGAAATGAGAAAAGGGCATTGAATTCCCTGAAACTGGAGTTACATATGGTTGTTGAACTGCCATGTGGGTGCTGGGAAAGGAGTCCTGGTCCTGCACAAGAGCAGCATGTGCTCCCAACTGTTGAACCATCTTTCCTGTCCCAGAAAAATGTCTATTTTGAACATGACACAGACTAAATTCCTGGGGAAAGGTATCTTTAGTAATGGTATTTTAGGAGGCTAAAAGCCAATCCTAAAAGTTCAAGTAGAGTCAAAGCACCTTCTGTAACAGAAAGTCATGTTGTGGACAGTATAAGGACACGGATGAGCTTATGGGAAGGCATCTGTATCCTCCCCATCACTTTTCAGTAACTATACTCAAATAAATGCGGTGTACAGCAGGAGCAACCCTCCAAAGTAATTCCTAAATTATCTCACATTACTTTCTTTATTTTGGCGATCTCTATGAGGAAGTTATTTTTGATTCTCTCTTTTCTTTTTTAGTTAAACTGTTACTATATAGTCTAGGTTGGCCTCAAATTCCACCTATAGCTTAGGATAGCCTAGAATTTACCATACTTTTGCCTCAGTTTCCCTAGAAGGATTATAGGCAAGAGCCATTATGCCATGTTGATGTTCCTCAATTTTTAAAACTTCCTGTTAGAAAACTAGAATTTTTGCTAAGAGACACATAGTTATCTCAGTGCAACTGCTAACGGGGAAAACAGCAACTTCTTCTTTGTTCAGTTTCATTATTTTTATTTCTTAGGTGGAAAGGAATGATGAAAGACCGCCTTCAAGAATTAAAACAGAAAACCAAGGAAATCGAAATCGAACTCTCTCGGGACAGTCAGGTGTTTGGAGAAGCAGAGGAACAAGGCGTGATTGTCCAGCAAGCTGTTATTTATGAGAGAGAACCTGTAGCTGAGAGACACCTACAAGAGATCCAAAAACTGCAAGAGACTATCAACAGCTTTGCTGATGAGGTTCAAAAGTTTGGACAGCAACAGAAAAGTCTGGTGGCTTCCATGAGACGGTTTAGCCTACTTAAACGGGACTCTACCATTGCAAAGGAGATAAAAACCCAAGCAGAACACATTCACAGAGCACTGGGTGATTTAGTCAAAGAAGTAAAAAAGTCAGAGGTTGAAAATGGTCCATCATCAGTGGTCACAAGGATACTTAAGTCCCAGTATGCCGCGATGTTCCGCCACTTTCAGCAAACCATGTTTCTATACAACGACACAATAGCTTCCAAGCAAGAGAAGTGCAAGACATTTATCGTCCATCAGCTGGAAGTGGCTGGAAAAGAAGTGTCTGAAGAAGACGTGAACGACATGCTTCATCAGGGAAGATGGGAAGTGTTTAACGAAAGCTTACTCACAGAAACCAGCATCACTAAAGCCCAGCTCTCGGAGATTGAACAGAGACACAAGGAACTTTTGAATCTGGAGAACCAAGTGAAGGACCTCAGGGACCTGTTCATGCAGATCTCTCTTCTGGTAGAGGAACAAGGAGAAAGCATCAACAGCATTGAGGTCATGGTGACCAGCACAAAAGAGTATGTTATCAATACCAAAGAGAAGTTCGGACTCGCTGTAAAATACAAACGAAGACACCCCTGCAGGGCCCTGTGCTGCTGCTGCTGCTGCCCCTGCTGGGGCTCCAAATAGAGACGCTATATTAGAAACGCCTCAGGGCTTAGGGGGATGGTTTCCACATTTCAGAGCCTTGTTTTGGTTGTCTTCATTTCATGAGTCCAGTTACATGCATTCTATCATGGCTAACTGGTTATTTTCCCCTTTACCATTTACCCACTAACAGTTACAGAACTGCTGAAGCCAGGGACACAAGACAAGCATTTACTTAACATTCTCAGGTTAACTTTTAAAAATAAAAGTGAAAGACTTTACGTTTCTGGAAAAATAGAGTTCTACTGTGCATTTATATACTCTTTAGATGAATATTCAATTAAGTGATAACTACTTTATTAATCTGGTTTATTTGAGAATATTTATTAATTAAGAGTTGTATAACACAAGGCCTCAAAACATGCCACAGTGCACCAAAATGAAACTAAATACCTATTAAGCCTCTATCCTCAGATAGGTAAGGAAACCTGGTGATCATTAGGTCCTGGGGAAACTCAATCATCAACTTGATGAAAAACCTACCTGGTGACAGTCAAGCATAAGACCTATGGTGTGATAAGGCTGTTTTTTATGAACTTGGAAATGGACAAGAAACTGAATTACATACAGATCGGAGGGCTTGACAAAGTCTAAGTAAAGGCAATTGTGTTCTTGAATATTATGATAAAGCAAGCACTAAAGAAAAAAGTATAAATTAATGAAGAGGCCTAAGCACTCTTCAACTTCGGGATGGTCCTGACAGCCTCCGGAGTGCTTGGATGACACAGGAATGTAGCACTGAGCCCATTTGGCTCTTTTTCTTTAAACATCTTTTACTTCACTATGTGTTTTTGCCCACTGTGGCCTGGCTGTACTGTCCTCTTTCTGTAATGGAGCAGGAGTTTCTATACTCTTTGTTCCTTATGCCTGAAATAAACCTGTCTATTATCACCAATTTCATGTTCACTTGAATGTCACCACTGGTGGGTGGTAGACACCATGAAGATATTTAGTCTTTCTACTCGAGAATATGATGCTTCTTCATTAATTTATACCTTTTTTCTTATTGGTAAACTCTTACCATCTCCTACATATTTTCGAAAGCAACACGGTCATCTTTGTGGTCGTTTTGTTTGTTTGTTTCTATTGCTATTATGGAGTAATATTTCTCTCCAGTAAATATTTGCCACGGTTGTCATTCAAAGAAAATAAATGATTGCCTTTGAGAAAGTCCTTTCCTGACGACTCACCCTAGCAGGGCCATCCTGATGACCTGTGGCCTCTCATCACCCTTCCTTTAAGTATCTGCTGGAACTTAACACCACCTTACAAACCTCTTTGTTACCGGCTTCTGTGTTAGCATGTGAATTTCCAACTGATTTCCTGTGCGAGTCCAACCAATATGCAGAGTCTGTAAGAGAGCTCTGTCTACCACCGAATTTACTCCGTTGTCTCCTTTCATTTGAATGCTGTCTCCCCTCCTTCCAGGAGGGAAGGCTGTGTTTCTGCTTCAGCCCAAGGCGTCTTCATTCGTGCCCCAGATCCCAACCCTTGCTACTGCAGAGATATCCTTCTCTTCAATGTCAGGAGGGAATCCTCCTCTGGGTCACTGCCCTCGGCACAGTGCTCTGTGTTCCTTGTATTAGGTATCCTAAAGTCCCTTCACCTCAAATCTCTTCAGGACTGACTCCTCACCGTAGGGTTCTCTATGTGTTTAAACCGTTGGCCAGAGTGGTGGGAATTCGTGTGTGACAATTTCTATTTCCTGAAAGACCCTTGACAAAATTATCAATTGAGAAAAGCAGAGTTAAGGGAGCAAGTGGATGAATGAAACAATCAGGTCAGACGGAAGAATGCAACACCCTGAAAAGTGGCAGGAGAATGACCAGGAGGCATCCAGGGCCCATCTGAGATGTACTGGGATAACTTGAATGTGATCTCAGCCAGGACACTCATGTGTTTTTAACCTAGCAACACGCAGCACCTTGAATGCTGGCAGAGAACATGAGGGTCCTTGTCTGCTTAGGGTGGTGGCTCTTCCACACCTATACAATGCATGAAATGTGTGCTGAGGGAGTTGGGGAACTTGAAGGATTCAACTGTCATGTTACATCATATTATATGTACCATGAAGTAATTTTAGTTTAAATATATACATTGAATTGCTTTCTACTGTGTCAGTTACCAAGCATCACCGTGGAAAGGATGTTTCATATGTCCTAGCTTAAAATGCTTAAAGGAGCATTCTAAAAAGATTCCTGTAAGACTCAACAGCTGACTGGATAATTCCAGCTATTACCTCCACTGTTCCTTTTAAATTTTTTATCTAGAGTTTTAAGCATACTCGGTTATAGCTTTTCTTAAATTATTTATCACGAAAACTAAGACCATTAAGTACTATTTAATATGCATTAGTTCAATTATGCCCAGATGGATTTGTAAAAAGTTCTTTCTGCTAGCATTTTATTATGCTTTTAAAGTAAGAATTAAGCACAGATGTATTGCAAAGCAGTGAATAATATTCAATTTCACTGCTACATTCTTTTTATCATATTAATATGAATTATACATATCAATGGGTTCAACTTGACGTTTCCACACGTGCATTATTGTGCTTGATCATATCGACCTTCTTGTGTCTCTCAAACCCTTCTCTGGTAGTTGCTTTCTATTCTCAGTTGCTCCCCTACACACACTTAGATTCCAAATTCTATACACAAGAGGAAAAAATGTGACATTTGTCTTTCTGTCACTGGATAAGTTCACTTAACTTGGTGACACCTACTTGCTTCCAGTTGCTTACAAATGACTTGATTTTGTTCTCCTATGCTGCTTCTGTGTTGATTTGCACCTTGGTTTATGCCATAACATGGCTATGATAAATGGTATCTTATGGCAATGTCTTCAATTGCTTAGTATTATCCTAACCTAAGCAACAAGCACAACATATTTAATCAGTTGTTAACTATTCTGTATGTTTTATTTCCACACTTAATACAAAGTAAAAGCAGCAATTTTTTTCTTAATATAACTACCTGAAAGAGTAAACTAATTCTTGAAAGAGTTGATGGAACAATATAAGGAATCTGCTGGAAACAGAAGACAAAAATAACATTTAAAAAAAAAGAACAATTAAAGATTTTGGGGTGCATGTTAACACCACTAAATTGGTTTAAGTGGTTTGAATTCATATAACACTTTGAAGCACTTCGTCATCAGCAATAATATAAAAACCCATTTACAGAACAGTAGGAACACTCTGCAGGTCATGCTTTCATTATCCGAATTCACATGCTGGCACAGGCTTGCAAATCCTCATTCACAAGGAGAGCCACAGAGGCTCAGCGAGAATCAGTAAGTTTCGGGACTGTGTGGTGTTTGCATACCTGTAATCCCTATCGGAGGCTGGAAGGTTGCTGGGAGTCCCAAGTCAGCCTGGGCTACAGCATGAGACCTTGTCTCAAGGAAACAAAGAAAGGGAGAGGAAGAAGAGAAACAAAGGGAGGGGAGAGGAGAGGAGGAGAGGAAAGGGAACCTCTAGAGGCCTGTCTGCTTCCAAAGGTTTCCCCCTCCAAATCCTGGAGGTCTGGGATGAAAACGGTGAAGCAGGCGGTCCTTGGCAACATGTTGATGCCCACCTGGCAACACTGTCAAGTATTTGTTCTTTGTGAGTTTTAGAGAGTGTGATAGCGAAAGAAGAGGGCAGCATAAATAGTGGAGGAGGCTGGAGTGCAAGCCCACAGCATAGGCAGCCTCAGGAGGCTGCAAGAGCAGCCAAGCTTCCGACAGCCCACAGTGTAGGCAGCCTCAGGAGGTTAGAAGAGCAGCAAAGCTTCCGACAGTGGCCCTATAACGCCAGTGAGCTGGGGACCCAAGAGCATGAAGTGGGTCAAGGTAGTCACACCCGCGTTTAAGAAATCCTGGTGATAGGACTCGAGGGTCTCGAGCCCAGTAAAGACTTGTCACTCTAGGCTAAGATACGCCACTATTCCAATAGCTAAACCGGACTAACACAAGTAGAATTCCTATTGTCCTGAAAAGAAATTTTAGCTGGTGGCTTCAGAGATATTCTGGATGAAGGTCCAACAAACTGGACTCCAAAAAGGTGACAGGCAGTGACTTCTTTTCTCTCTAAAGACAGGTGTAAGTCTACAAATGGCACCCGTCGTCTTAGGACATTGCTACCAACTGGGGCTGATGAAAATTTCAATATATTTAGTTATGGAATTAAACTTCCAGTTCATTTTATTTCATAGGAAATCAAATAGTGCCTTGCATAATTAATTTGAAGTATAGTAGGTACTCAGTATTTGTTGAATTAATATATGCACAGATGCATAGATACACAAGAGAAAAATGAAGAAAAATAAATAAATGGCTATTTAGTTAAAAAGACATGAACTACTCATTTATGACAAACAATGATTAATATTTTAATTTTACTTCAGAAACCAGTGAGTCTCTGTTTAAATATTTTCAAAGACCAAGTTCACCCGTAGGGCTCAACCAAGGTCACCTTTCATATATACTTCTATTAATATTTTACTTCGGATTCAATAAAAGTGAGACCTGATTCTATAGAGGAAGTGACTTCTTTAATCAAACACTTAAAAGTTTAAAAACGTAAGCTTTACCAATAAATGATCCAATAAAGTTTCAACTTTTATAATCAAGTTTCAAATAGCCTTGTTTAAAAATCCCCATTTGCTATGGAGAAGCACCAGGAGAAACTCCTCTTTTAAGCACCGGGGAGAAACTCCTCTTGCATTACTCCTCTTATTAATCAACCATGATGGGTTGGTTTTTTATACCTTAATAATGAAGTACAGGAATGAGGACAAAGCAAAGAAAGACAGGGGCATTTACTCAGTAACTTCCCGCTGAGGAGCAATCTGAACTAAGATTTCCTCTTTGCCTTCTTTCACGTCACAGCGCCACCTGGCGCTCACTGTGCACAAATGCGAGGAAGACCAATGTCCCTTCTCAATGTCTTCTACAAATGTTCCAGCTTAAGGACAAAATGCTGTAAGCATATGACTGAGACAATGAAGCTAGATCACACATGCAATGGGGAAATATGAAAGCTCAATTAAAGTGTCATTAGAGAAGGACCCATTTAAGGAACTTTCAAAAAATGCACTCCTGGGAAAAGAACAGCAGTCGGGGAGATAGCTCAGCTGGTTGGGGGAGGGCCTGCCTCGCTCGCACAAGGCTGTGGGTTTGCTTGATCAAGGGGGTTCACACCTGTAATCCCAGCACTGGGGAGGTGGAGGTGATGGATCTGAAATTTGAGGTCATCCTTGGCTACATAACTACCTCAAGAACAGCCTGAGCTAGGTGAGAGCCTGTCTTAAAGAAAACAAAACCCAAAAGGAAGGCAATAAGAAAGGACAATGACAAAATATAAGTTATTAAGAGAGGAAGCTAGGTGTGACGGCACAACTCACGATGCTGAGGCAGGAGGATCAAGAGTTCAAGCTCAACCAAGGCTACATGGCAAAATCTTGTTTTGAAAAGGGCTGAGGTTGCAGCTCGGTGGCTGCAAATGCTCAGAGCATTTGCCTAGCATGCCTAAGCCATATCTGCAGGGGGCGGGGGGAATGAAAGAGCTCAGAGCATTTGCCTAGCATGCCTAAGCCATATCTGCAGTGGGGGGGGGGTGGGGGATGAAAGCACTCAGAGCATTTGCCTAGCATGCCTAAGCCATATCTGGGGCGGGGGGGGGGGGGGGGGGGGGGGCGGGCGGTGAAAGCGCTCAGAGCATTTGCCTAGCATGCCTAAGCCCGGGGGGGGGGGGGGGGGGTGGTGGTGGTGGTTAAAGCACTCAGAGCATTTGCCTAGCATGCCTAGGCCATATCTGGGGGGGGCGGGAGGCGGTGAAAGCGCTCAGAGCATTTGCCTAGCATGCCTAAGCCGTATCTGCGGGGGGTGTGAAAGGGCTCAGAGCATTTGCCTAGCATACCTAAGTGATATCTGCGGTGTGGGGGGGAGGAGAAAACATATCCTAAAACCTCGTTCAAAACGCAAAATTTAATACAAAGCAGACCATCCAATAAAACGAGAGTTCATATTTGACTTCTCAAGGCATCCAATTAGTAAGCTTGCTCATAACACAGGCTAAATTCTTTAATCCCTACCAAAAGCAATATAACATTATAACTGACAGGTAATTGTACGCATTTATTATACTAATAGATGACCACCTTGGTTACTTAATATTCTGTTAAGAGACGAGCATCTCTTGCTAATGCTCCATTACTTACACCAGTATAGGCTTTCCTGATATCCTCGGATGTCTCAGCACTTCTGACATCGTCTCTTTTGTTTCTTCCATTCTTTCTTCATCACTGGAATCCACAACAAATATTACCCCATAGGACTCAGCATAATAATTCTTCCAAATCCCCCGAATTCTTTTGCCACCTCCCAAGTCAAAGATGGTAACTTCAAACTTTCCTTGTCTAAGGTCAATTTTAGAAAAGCCAACAGTGGGAGCTACGTCTTCAGGATGCTCTGTTTGGAATGATACAAAAAAGAGGACTCTTTAGACTTTAATAGCACTAATTTATCTCTACAACAAAAATCATATCAAAGGTAGCACTCATATGTCATTACAAAATGGGAAAATCACTTGCTGATGCAATAGATACTACCACCAAAAACACTTGTGTGAGAGACGGGTTAATAATGTAAATACCCAACTAGTATTTTCACTGTCCACAGAGAGGAATTTGTGTTTGAGTTATTCGTTTGTATTGGTGTTTGTGTTGTTTTTGGTTTTCGAGACAGGTTTTCTCTAGCTGTTCTGGAACTCACTCTGTAGACCTGGCTGGCCTTGAACTCAGAGATCTGCCTGCCTCCTGAGTGCTGAGATTTAAGGCATTCGCATGCCACCTCCACCTGGCTGTTAGTTTTACTTAATTACTATAATCTCAGCAAGTAACATGAAATAGGCACTTAATAATTAAATGTTGAATGAATGAATGAGTTCTTGTGTTAAGGCTAATTTACTCTTCAATCAGCTTTAATCTTTCAACACCATGCCACTCAAGGGCTCTATTATAAATTCTGTGGAAGAATAAGGAAAGTCAGGAATATTAAGAAAATAAAATAAAAGAAATTTGAAGAATCAAAAATAGAAAAAACTGCAAAGAATAAGGCAATTCTTTTCCAATCAGAAAAATTAAAATTACAGCTACTGTTGGATGTTTAAGGGCATCCTGCAAAGAGAGCTCAAGTTCAGAACTTCTGTAGAAAATGTTTCTCATATGTTCCAATAAATTTATAATTGGGTTTGGAGTGAGAAGAGGAATTTTATATCTGAAGACACCAAATATAGGGGGCACATTACCATATCCGCCAAGGAGAGCAATGATCATAAGAGGTTTAAAAAGATGCCAGAGAGACACAGAAGTCTTACTCCAGGAGATGGGCTTAGGCGAAAGCTGGGGAGCAGGAGGACCCTAAGAGTGAGAAATCAAACAAGTACCAAGGGCTAGACATTGACACTGGATCAAATTCTCAACAGGTTTTATTTGGTTTGGTTTTGCTTTTGAGATGAGGTCACTTCTGTAGCCTAGGCTGACCCCCAACTTGTGATTCTCCTGCTTTGGTTTCCTCTGCGCCTGGGTGACAAGTATGCACTCCCATGCCTGGCGAAGCCTTCCGCAAACACAGGTGGAAGCCGGAGTGAACAGGGTCCTGAAAACAGGAAATGGGACCCTGACATATCAGTTATACAATTCGGTGATTAAAGTAACGCTCTGTTGACTGAAAATGAGTGATAGGCCATTTCCCAGAGAGCTAAGGAAATTAAAACAAGAGACAGAGGAGAGAGCTTATTAAACATTAATAACTTTATAGATTCAGTGGGTAAGAGAAAACTTCAGTGTCATATCTGCCTCTTCTATTCCCTCCTCATCACTAGAATATACTATAAATCTTTCTCCACAGGACTTTGCTTAGAGCTGTGTGGTTCAAGACTAGAAAGACACCACAAAAGGCTTTTAATTTTTTACGTGATATTAAATGGATTAAAATTCAGTTCCTCAGTTGTACCAGCTGTATCTCCAGTTCTTGGAAATAAAATGTGGTTAGTAGTCCACCCTATTACATGGATTCAGTATAAACTATTCCTATCATTCAGAAATTTCTGTGAAATGACATTGGTTGTTTATAGTAACTGGTTCCTACATTTAACAAAGCATTCACTGTGATAAATCTGTGAGGCGTGTTCAAGGATTATTATAGCTGAGAAACAGGCTTGCAAAGTACCACACTGCCTCTCAGGAAGTATCCAAGAGCAGCCTCTGCCCTGCCTGAGACACTTAGCAGAGCCATTAAAAGCTACTTTTCTGCTGCTAATTTCTCCATTACTAAAAAGACAAAAGGGTAAAGCTAAACCTAACAAAGTAGCCTCACTTTTCTGAAACAGGATCTCACAGGAGCTTAAATGGGGAGCTCTGGGCTGGGGAGTTAGCTTCATTGGTAGTGCCTGCCTGGCAGCTTGAGTGAGATCCATGGCACTCCATAAATCAGGCACAGTGGTGTTTGACTATAATATTAGCATTTGGGAGGTGTAGGCAGGAAAATTAATACTCGACTAAGAAAAATAATAACAACGAGGCAAATTACAGCCAGAAAAAGATTGTTGTCTTTGAGTATGAACTGAAAGATACCCCTAGGAAATTAACAATGGAAACAAATACACTATGCTGGAGCATGGGCAAGGGCAAATTAGAGCAAATGCTAATTTGATGAAAGAACGTTACTAGAGACCAGGGTTCAAAGATAAATAGGTTATTGTTGCCATCCTCAAAGAACATTGCAAAACATAAAAAATCATGGGGCTGGAGAGATGGCTCAGTGGTTAAGAGCACTGACTGCTCTTCCAGGAGCAGGGTTTGATGCCCAGCATGCACAAGGCAGCTCCCAGCTGTCTCGAACTTCAGTTCTAGGAGATCCAAGGCCTTCTTCTGGCCCCTGTAGGTACCAGGCACACAGCAGACATTTAGGGAAACAAAACAGCCATACAAATAATAAAATAATTGTTAAAAATATAGAGATCAAATATTGTGGAAATGACACCAAACGTGTATGTTCTGTGAAAAGACTGGGATGGTACTATGAGGGAATTCAAAAAGATGAAGGGAAGGAGTGAAGTGGTCAAGAGAGGCTTCGGAAACTGAGGAGAGTAAGAATCAAGTCTTAGAAGTTTCACAATTAGAAGAGAGGGTAGGAAGCATTATTCTAAGCGAGAGAACAATGTATGCGGAGATAAAGTGGTCAGACTATTCCTAGTAAACCAGCTAGCATTAGGAAACGTCTGCCTGGGGGAATAAATAGCTCAGTGGTGGAGCACTTGCCTAGCATGTGTGAGTGTGTGAGTTTCAATGCACAGCATGGGGAATGGGGAGGAGGAGAAGGAAAAGGAGGGGGAGGGAGAGCTGTTTTCAAGGTTATTCAGCATAGTAGCACATACCTGTAATCCTAGCATCAAAGAAGGTGAGGCAGGAGGATCATGAGCTTCAGGCCAGCCCTATGTAAAATAATAAAGCAAAAACAAAAACAAAAAAAAAACCTCAAAATATTTTCAATGTTAGATAGCAAGTGGGGGAGCCAGGACCCTAATCCAGATTTTCAGGCTGGGCGGTAGTGGTGCACGCCTTTAATCCCAGCACTCGGGAGGCAGAGGCAGGCTGATCTCTGTGAGTTTGAGGCCAGCCTGGTCTACAGAGCGAGATCCAGGACAGGCACCAAAACTACACCAAGAAACGCTGTTTCGAAAAAAACAAAAAAACAAAAAAAAAAAAAAATCAGATTTTCAGGACAAAAGCCAGGGCATGGAACACCCTGAGCCTCTGACTCCTGTTCAGGATCTGTGCTTCAAGATAATACAAATGTTCCAATTCAGTTTCTCCTCACGAATCCTTTTCTGATGATTCATTCCGTGCCACTCTCTCTACCAACTTCACCCTCTATCACTACATCCTACCTTCTATACCTCCCCAACAGGCGGAACCATGTCTGCATACCCTGAGTGCTTAGCACACAGTACATTCCACCTTTCCCTGTAATCATTTACTGGTGACCTTTTAGAGGTAAGTTAACTGACACAGAGACAGATACATGGCCCTCAATCTTAAGACTTACAGTAATGCATATGTTAAGACACAATAAATCTAAGATAAAATACAAATACACAATAAATAAGTATTGATTAGGTGTCTCTTATGTGCTAAGTTATATGCAGGATACAACAAAACAATTATTAATCAGATTCCTGATCCATAGAGCTCTTGGCCTACTCTTGAAATATACATATATGTTGTATGTGGTGTGTGTGTGTGTGTGTGTGTGTGTGTGTGTGTGTGTGTGTGTGTGTATGTGTGTGTGTGACTATATGTTAGTAACAAACAAAGCAAGAGGTAATTCACAGAAAAAACTTTCTACCCAAAATTATATAGTTTCCTATTAGGAATTCCTAGGAACTTATATTTACAAAAGACATTGATTCCCAATCTCAGAGGCAGCGACTGGCCATTAGAGGAGGGTCTAGACTAATCAGTGGTGGTCTACTAAGTATCTAACAACTTATTTGGAAGTAGAGGGTGAAGGCTAACATGTAGTATACGCCCATTT